TTTCGATTTAGAATTTTTAGTTATGATACAGTCTACGAAATAAAATTGTTGTTGTTGTTGTTGTAAGTTGTTTTAGTATAGAATCTAACCAGCGACCTCAAAACAACACTCTAGTCCCTACTCATATGTGAAAAAGATGGCAATTTCATGTACATGAAGATTTTTGTGAAAAATTGCCTAAATAAATATTTTACATTAATTTTAACATCCAGTTAGAACACATTTTAAGTGCATTTAAGCTAGTATTTGTTTATGTTTATATCATTTTTCGGCTATATCTCTCTTAAGAGAACAATAGAAATCAGCGAAAACTGCTGCATTTCACTATATATTAATAGATATCTGTACAAATAATACTGAACAGTTTTAGTAATAAGTGCCCTATTACTAGAAATGAAATAAATGAAGGTGACAAAAGAATTGAAAGATATGTGTCAAAGCTAATTTTTTAAAATCTTTTTCAATCTTAATGAATTGTGCTTTTATATATTATGGCTTTACTAGTCAACCAAGATTCATTTTAGTTTCTGATTAACATTCTCATAGCTGTCATTTAGCATGAGTTTTCAAATGCTTGGATCAATAAACAATCCTTCTCTTGCTATCTGATACAGAAGGAAAGAAATCTTCGATTAATCTAAGCAGTAAAGTGCAGCTCCCAACTCAGTCAATCGCTCTCGAGGTATCTTTGAACTCAAGACACTACTACTAAATTTTACATATTCTCCCTGAACTCAATATACTCTATGTACAGGCAGGGTATATATCGCTTTTGACCATTTGAGAACATCCTCAGGAAAACCAGTAAGAATTTGTTCTCACTCCATCTATAGCATATCGCCAAATGAGCAATTTTGCTCCAAATCTGGCAACCCTGCATTTCTTTGACACTTTCTGGCAACCCTACCCCTGCTTTGCGGGGAAGCTATCTTACCACTGCTGGGCATTTCATAACACTACCCCTCCCAAGGAATAAAGATAAAAATAAATATATATTACAGATTTTTGTGGCTATTTGGAAACCTTAGCAAACTTGATTATGAAACGTACAAAATAAACAAATTAAAAAGCAAGGATACACAAAATTACTTGGAAGTAGTTTGTTCATGGAAATTAGTTTTCTGTCTTATATTTTATGAATGCATTAAAATTCTGAAGCAAAGAAAGAAAATTTTCACATCCTAGAATAAGAACATAATTAAACACAGACCAAAAACAGAGTGTAAGTTAGATGTATTCAAAGGTATTTTCACTGACCTGCAATGATTTAAATTAAAGCAAAATTCAACAATACATAGATGTTGATTTTACAAAAATTTAAAAAAAAGAACTGTTCCTCAAAATTGCATATCCTATAAAATGAATCCAATGTCAATTCAATATGTTGAATTTCATCTTAATTTTAAACTAATGTAACTACGAGGGCTATCCAGAAAGTAGATTACGTTTTGGAATAAAAAAATAAACAAAGTATGGAAACAAATTTTAATTATATACAGATGAAAGCCACACTCAAATACTACTTTTCTACATAGTCACCATACAAATTAAGCATTATCGTAGGATGTACGAGCTTGGAAATTCCTTCGTCGAAAAATTCGGCCCCTGCGCCTTCAACCACTTCGTTACCTCTTCTTGCAGCTGTGCGTCTCATCAAAAACGCGCATAGCCAGCCACTTCTTCTTGCTGGGAATAGGTGGAAGTCGCTCGGTGCCAGGTGGGATGTACGGCGGATGAGGAAACAACTCCCACTTCAAAGATTCAAAACTTTACGAGTGACATTGCCGTGTGGGGCCGGGCGTTGTCGTGAATCAACAAGATCTTAGAGCTCAACATTCCTCTGCGCTTGTTTTGAATTGCTCTTCTGAGTTTTTGGAAAGTTTGGCAATACCTTTGAGAGTTTATTGTAGTGCCTCTTTCCAGGAAGTCCACCAAAATTACACCTTTTCTGTCCCAAAAAACAGTCGCCATCATCTTTCCTTGCCGACAGTTGTTTGCATGCATTTCTTGGGTTTTTGGGGAGAACTTGTGTGCCCCCACTGCATTGATTGCAATTTCGTTTCACAGTTCACATGTTTCACCCATTTTTCGTCACCATTAACATGCGATCGAGTAAAGAGTCACCATCTTTACTTTATCATTATTTGGTAAGCATCCAAAAAGTTTCAACGCTGCAGCCATTCGCTGATTTTGTGGTCCTCCTCTGTCAAGATTTTTGGAATCCATCTTGCACAAACTTGTGGTAACCAAGCTTTTCGCTGATGATTTCGTGCACAAACTTCACGAAATTTGTGGAAAACTCAAAGAAAGTTCCGTTTGTGAATTTCGATTTTCACACACGGACTTTAGCATCGACTTTTTCGAGAAGTTCGGCGTCCACTATGCTGGGTCTCCCACTTCGATCTTCGTCGTGAACATTGGTTCGGCCATTTTGAAATCTTATGACCCACTGACGCACTCCACCTTCAGTGATAATGTTGTCCCCATACACTTCACGAAGCTGCCGATAGATTTCTATCGGTTTACAGTTTTTTTGCAGTCAGAAACCTTATTACTGAGCAAACCTCGCAGCTCGCGGGATTTTCAATTAACGCAGACATTTCAAACCATCACAGTATCTGAACGGAGCACAGCACGAACCTCTCACTAGCACGGCTAGATGCAGACTGAGCTGCGCAACGCTCTGACCCCAAGATGGCCGCGCTAGCCCCGCCCCTAGCGGACACAGACGGAAATGTAATCTACTTCCTGGATGGCCCTCGTATTATCAATGCTCTATATAACAACATCAGCAAGTTATATTTAGTTTTACAAAAAATTAACAAAAGTATTAACATACAAAACTTTAATAAAAGATATTTAACAGTATAACACACCAAAAAATTTTAACTTACATCCAGGCTCTTGACTTTACGTTTATTTCGTCTGAAATGATATTCCTGGGCTTTGGTCCTATAATAATTGATAACAAAACTGAGAAATTTAAAATTAAATTAAATAAGAAAAAAAAAATGAAGTGTATGCTTAATATAACAGCCATTATCTTAATTTACTTATTTCATACTTTATTTTCAGCCAACTAATTAAAAAAGGCATTATATTCCTCCCCCCCCAAAAAAAAGAAATATAATTATCATATCTTCACTGACTAAACCAGCATGCTTTATATTGAAATCACATACTAGATTTCTGTATTAATGTCAGTGATTTAATTAATTCCAAATTAAAATTGAGAATTAAGGGATTATTAAAGTTTAAAGTTAGAATTTTGGTTTACAAATTTTCTACGTATGTAACATAAAATTAATTAATTAGCTGATACAATATACTATAATATACACATCTACCTTATTAACATCTACCTTTCTAATAATAAATTCCTAATATTAAACATCTACCTTTCTAATAATAAATTGACAATAGCGAAATTTGAGCATGCTTCCCTCTTCATTCTAAAAGTAGCACAGCAATATTTTTTCCAGTACAATCTTTACTTCCTGTACTTCTGAAAAGTGATCTGTCATCTGATCTCTACTGAGCAATTATTCTAGGAATGTGATGAAATCTTAATCATTAATTAATCTTAATTATTAATGATCATCTGAGTACTAATTTGCTTAATGTAAACATTCTTATAAGGTAATGTGAAACATAATCATGCCTTGGTATAAAAGTCTACAGTGTCTTTTCTTTGCATGCTCTTTTTGTTTGCCTCTCTTTGAACTCTTCCGCTTCGCAACAGGAGCATGTTGTTGTCTTCAAAAAAAATTTTTTTTTCAAGACAATCCGAGATGTGAAACATTCTTTAAGAACAGGATGCTGTAACGCTGAGTGTGTTCAATTAAAGGAAATAATCAAATTTGACCACATCTGCAAATTTCTAGTTTATGCATCTATCTAACATGCCAAGTTATTATAACAAGCTTCCTCCAAGTTCTTACATACGCACACACAAGTGTGTGCGTGTGTATACGCAATATTAATAAATTAGTTAGTACTTTTACTATGTTTTAAGTATAGCTTAACATATAGCTTATTGTTAATTTTTACTTGTAAATAATCATATGTTGTATTTTTCTCTTTTAACACACTTCATTGCTACTAAATTTGCTTATGTTAAAGTTTTCACGGAACCACAGTATTTTAGCAACTTTTTAGCATGCGTACTAAAATTTATCTTCTAATTTCCTTAATTTTGCAGCACAATGCACAAAATTGTTTAACACATAGGTCTTTGATCATTTGTTCTTTCTACTTTACTTTAAATTATATTATATTATATATATATATAATATATATATATATATACACATGTAGAACGATTTTGTTACATATATATCAAAAATATGCAAAGAAAAATACTAACTTTAATTTTCAGTAGTCCCTTCATTCTATTTTGATTTGGCTACTTCCCTTCTCCATCCTTTTCATATAATGGTAGTGAAGCAGATAATTCAAAACTGAAATTCAAAATTGTGAACTAAAACCGAATTCTTTTTTAACTTACTGGAACATGACATGTTTTCTTTCTGCTTCTGTTGCTAGCTAAACTTCTGCTCTATCTTCAAAATTATATTTTATAAATATACTGGTACTCATTTAGCTTTTCAGAAACAGCAACTGTTGCGCTCAGTTATTTATGCTGGCTTAAAAATGTGTGTCAACCAAAATAAAAAGGAATATTATTAATTCAGCAACTTCTTCATTCTGCACCTACAATGTATCATCATGACTAAGTATTTCTACAGAATGCTGCATTATTTGTCTTTTAAGACATTCTAAATCACAGCATATGTGTGTGTGTGTGTGTGTGTGTGTGTATATACATATATATAAGTGTATATGTGTGTTCTTTTAACGTGTCCACTTATAACCCTTTCAAATATTTAAATTAACCCTAAATTTTTTTTTCTAATTATTTAAATCAGTCTTAAGTAGAAATACCTCAATAAAGAGATTGCGTATATTTTTTATGATTATTGTAATTACCATATAGTGGATAAATGGTACAGTGATCCTTACTTAATGTACTGAATTCCTTCACACACATAACTAATAGAATTTATGGTATTTATGTTCCTTTAAATTAAACATTAAATTTGTCGCAATTTATTTAGTTAGGTTTCTTTAACTATGTCCTTGCAACAGACAAAGGCTACCAATGGCTATAAATGTCATGTACTGAATTCTTTCTCTTTTACAAGGAAAGTCTTGTAATCTTGAACTCTCAATTTTTCTTAACAGAAATGTATATGAATCTACTCATCTAGAAATACAGAATAATAGTGAAATTAGGTACTAATATTCTATTGATAATAAAAAAAAATAATATATACTGAGTTTTTGACTGCCAACGGCGAACTTCATGATAAAATTTGCATTCAGAATGATGTTATGTCTCCAATATAATCAGAATTGTAAATTTTCAAATTCCCATTTATGTTAATCTACTCCTCCTCCAATTGAATACTACATGCTTCTTAACCCCTTCGAGCCGGGTAGCGAAAACGCGCGCTTATCGCGGGGGCCGGCAGTGTCTTCCGCGAGCGTCTCTCCAGGGCCGGGGTCTTTTTTGCTACTAAGCCTAAATCCACGAAATTTCCGAAGTATCAACGCATTGTTTAATAATGCTTTATAGAGTATTTAAACGGCTTATGCTTTATAGATATTTTTATATATATACTTTAATTACCGTATTTCTTGTCTAAATGCATATTTTACACATTTTATTTTTAATTACTCACCATTTTATGACTTTTAACATTATACATCTGAAACTAAATATATTACTTAAAATTCTCTTTTCGTATGAAAAATTTTAAAACAGGGTCTACACACAGTCCTACGTTACATTCCTTGAACTCGTAATAACTCATTTGCCGTTTTGGAGGATTTTTTTCCGGAATGTGAACAAACGAAGCATCGTCGTCTCATTTTCTTATCAGTCTCTCTCTCTTGAACAAAGTTTTGGAAAATGTCTTTCAGTTAATAATCTTTCAGAATCAATATCAGAATATCAGAATTTCAGAATCAACATCTGAAATATTTTGCATCATTTCTGCTATTTCATGCTCTGTTAAACATTTTCGACGCTTCGAACATTGAAACGGTAAAAACAGAAAAAAATCACGTCTAACAAGATCTAATTATTTTCTAAAAACTGAACTGTAAACCGAAATGCTCAACGCTTTAGCGCATATAAAACTTCTACTTACAATAAACAACTACCATGTGCGAATAAAATGCGATTTAAAGAGACGTCATAAATCACGCCATTCGGAAACATTTAGTTCCCCGTTTGTTTATATAATCAAAAACACGTGTATGTGAGTCATGCTTCTCTCATTTCGAGTAGAAAGTCTAATGTACATGTATCTGAAACCATATGGGCATACAGTGCCATCTTGTGGCAGAAATTATAGTTTGAAAAACGTTCCAAGGTACTGGCACAAATATGTGACATTCGGTAGAAAACGCAACAATGCTCTGGCACGCCTGCGTGTCGGCTGGTAGATAAGTGCGTTTGTTGCTGGCACGTATACATGACAGTCGGCGCGAAGGGGTTAAATGAACATAAGGATTTGCAGTTCTCTGTGTATTACTTTATTTCTAATAGTTACAACGTTTTATGAAAAAATTTCCTCATTTTTTGACAAAACTACACTTTGCTTTAGCTGAAATTTAAACTGATTTAGGAGAGAAGACAGTTGATTCTAAACAGTCGTGGAAAAAAACAATTCAGTTAAAACGCTGCATCCCTCCCTTAGCTTTATAGCACCAGATTCTGAAAATTAAAAAAAATATTCACATAATTTCCCCCTTCCTCAATGCATTTAGAGAAAAAACTCCCATAAATTTTAAAATTCATCCACGTAATGATTGTTCTCATCTTATTAACCCGTTCACGACGGGCACCTTTGTTACCGAAGTGTTCTCTTGGGACGGCGCATTAACCAGATGCGTCGTCCTGTGGAGACGGGCAATTTACGCTGCTAAGCCTAACTTTGGAAAAAAAATCGTATAAATGAAATTTGTCATCCAATTCTTCCAACTTGGGTACATTATGAGAAGAACATTCAGGTAGTCGTCAGAATTAATTTTAAGCCTTTATTATTATATTTTCCTTAAAAATTTTATAAAATACTCATTCTAGAATAATACAGTACGAAGTCCATAATCCAGACTCGTCGAGACTTCGGCAATTCCGGATTAAGGAAATTTTCTGGATATTAGATCATCAATTTAAATCTGGCAAGGTGGCATGCAGAAAATTATACAATTAAAGTATGAAATCGTAATTTATGAAATAAAGAGCATTTATGATCTAAAGGGTATCAAAATTAACCAAAAAAAGGCTTAATATTTATTTGTTTACTTTATTAAACATTTCTTTCAGTTTAAGTTGCTTCGTTTTTTGTGCTAAATATGCATGCATAGCATTAAACGCATTACGCACATGTGTAAATCATACAAAAAAAAGTAAAAATATAAGAGTAATAAAAAAAAATCTCTAATGATAGAACGTCTATCCCACCATATTGCAAAAATAAAAATAAAAAGTACCTCAATGCAGCGAGAACACGTGCATTTGTTTATATCAAATGACGCAATTGCTCAACACCCACCCATGAATCTCACTCTCATTCCGAAACAAAATACCAAAAATAAAAATTATTGCATAGGAATGAAGGTACAGTCTGTCTATCATAAAAAAAAAAAAAAAAAAAAAAAAAAAAAAAAAAACCTTTCGCCAGTTAGTCTACAGCTGTCTGTTGTTGTAGAAACAAGCCTTGACCCATTTTCAATAGATGTGTCTTTTCCCCTCAGCCAACAGTCACCAAAAACAAAATAACAATAAAGCAACCCTTGGCTCGCCCCTATTTGAAATATACTAGTCCTGTTGCTGTCACGACCGCCATCCGCCAGACACTGTGGCGGGAGCTATTCTTCTC